GTGGTTGAATTAGTCGCAAACCTCTCCATCATTTTCATGAGCAAACCAACCTGAGGGCTTGATACAAAAGCTTCTGCTTTTGTCATGAAAACAGTTAGGAATACAGTGGACACAGGGAGATCGGTCGTATCCACAATTCACCATTAAGGCTTGGCCTGGGACCTCGAGAGCGTTCCACGCTCGGGCTCCATGGACCAAAATTGAAGTTCGAAGACCAAATTGAATATACGAAGAAGAATACAGCCATTACTTTTGATCTTCTCTCTTTTCCTTTTAAACATGCTCGATAATTTATCGAGATAAAGCCACAAAAAACCTCAAATTATACCCATTGTGACACATTACCCTGCACTTTTATTGTGACATCAAGTATACCTATTGTGACATAATTACCCTAAATTTTTTCTTGTGACATAAAACATCCCAAAACTTGTACGTATGGGACACATTTATCCTTCGTTAAGGCTCCGTTGGATGATTTTTCAGTCAAAATAATATCTTTTTTTTTTCACTTAAGCCACGTGGGCATCATATCAACACCGTTTGCTTTCCGGCGTCCGTGTAGGAAAATTTTTAACGGTCCTTATTAACAGAACTTTGACGGAAAGTAAATGTGCTGCGTGGATACAAGTCTGGAATTTTTGCTGCCACGAATGCGTCACATTGAACATAGTTATATAAGCAAATTTCACTTGGGTTTTAGTTTTTGGTTTTCTTTCTTGTTTAAAAAAGGGGATAATAACACAAATGGTCCATGAATTTCGACCCAATGTGCAATGCTGTACCTAAATCTTTAATTTGTTCAATGCAGTCCCTGACCTTTAGCCCAATGTGCGATGTGATCCCCGAACTTTTAATTTGTTCAATGTGGTCCATAGACTTTTGGTACTTATTCAATGTAATCCCTGACCTGTACGAAAACGTTCAATGTAATCCTTCCATTAATTCAAGATCGAGGACAATATTGAATATCTTCACATAATTCAAGGACTAACTTGAACATGTACCAAAAGTTCATGGATTACATTGAATAAATTAAATGTTCAGGGATCACATCGTATATTAGGCTAAAGGTCAGGAACCGTATTGCACGTCGAATGGAAGTTCATGGACTCCTTGTGCCATTTTACCTTTCAAAAAACAAAAAAGAAAAACGAAATCCTCGTAGCGTTTTGGCGCGGGAAGGGAAAGAACCACCTCCGGAGGAGTAAAAGGAGTTGGTGGGGTGGGGGCCCGGACCGATCCAGGAGAAGGCGCGTGGGTCCCCCGGAAAACCAAAAGAGACACTCCGTCGCTGCTATCGTTTTCGTCGCGACTAATAAAAAGATCGTATCGATGGATGGGGGGGGGTGGGGGCACCACCGTCCAAAGGCGACGACCGACATCGCTCTCAATTAAATCTGCATGGGGGTGACCCACGACTTCACGTGCCGCAATAATAACTCGCCCATCCGGTCCACATCCTTTGAACCCCTTCAATTAAGCTTTACTTTCACTTTGGCTTTTTTCTAATTCGTTTTTTGACCCCCCCACCCTTTTAGCATCAGATTAGTAAGTTTCTTTAGCTCGATCTGTGACCTGGTGCTAATTTTCGAATTTCGAATATTGTTTGAGAGCGAGGACTGGTACGTCGTTGATCTTGGAAATTCAAGATTCTCAATAGTAATCTCGATAGGGGTTACATGAATCTTCACTCGAGAGATAATTGTGGCAGTTTTTTGGGGGCTATGTAGGACTTTACATACATGAGTAGGGACCTCAAGTTTATAAGCAAGATAGGGAACGCACTGCCAAGTTTGAAAAGCCGGGCTTCATGTGATTTTCGTCAGATCCAAAGATATCGATGGTCCAAGAGGTGAAATTAGTTATATGATTGCGTTTCGTGGTGGCCAGAACTGTGGATGGTGCTTTCTTTCGACTGCTAATTGGGTTTCTTCGGCTTCCGTGTGCTCCATGGAGGGAATCGAGCTTCTGGGAATCACATCGACGTTCTTTTTAATGGAAGGTAGAATTTCTTGGAGGACCTAAAAGATAGTTGCCCGCATGGTCAAATCTATCATTTGGTAAAGTTAGATACGAAAATGCTCATGAATACATTGTGATCTCTTTGATCATGGGGATTGATCAATCAAACAGAATGTTCACAAAATTATGAACAATCACGAAACGCCAACAAACCACATTTATCAAGCGATGAAACTTTGTTACGCTATTTGGTTTAAAATTGAAAATTTGGGATGAATCTATTAAGCCGATAAGGTCGCCTCAAGTTATGTGGAAGCTGTTGTTCGATCAATAAGACATTATTCAACGTATTTCACAAGGATGGCTTGCTCTATTAAAGAGCTGTAATTGCGTCGAACGGATACACGACACAACCATACATGAAACATTTCTAATGTTTAAGATCACAAATCAACAATAAACCCACTAAACCGAAATTTCACATGCGAATAAGAGTGACTTTTACTATCGACATAATTCGACGTTTAACTTTCGTTTAATATTTAACAAGCGGAATTTCTACAAAATGCATTTTTTAGGAGAAACTTAAGGAGGCTATTGGAAATCGTTGCAAACTTTTTCCTAACTTTTTTAAACATAAAATATTTGTGCGTGATCCGACAAGGGTATCAACAAGAGCCATTGCAAACTTTTTCTTGGACTTTTCAAACCTCGTTAACATGTCCATCTCAGGTCGGTGAGACCGGAAAGGCAATTGACCACCGGCTGGACCGGTTTCCTCCCCGCCGTCGAGGTCAAAGTCCCGGCTGTAATGGGCTGGGCGCTGCTCAACTGCTCCTCCCTCTCTCTGCTGTCCTTGTTGCATTACAAAACAATTTGAAATTCAACAGTTCAGTTCTCATCAATCAGTCTGTAATCTAATAATTTATACGATGGTCCTCGCTCCGCACGACGCGCTTATTTTCCAATTTCATCTGAGCAACATATTCACATGAAGCGCTCAAGGTGGGTTAAATGGGTGGGTATGTACGGGTTTTTACAAATTGGGTTAACTATAAATGTTTGTTTAGTAATATAGATCGCATTGAATATGGGCTGGGTCGAATATGTGTTTTAGTAATATGATCGTGCTGGGCTAGGCGCTGCCAACTGCTCCTCCTCCATGCTGTCCCTGTTGCATTGTAAAACAAGTTGAAATTCAACAGTTCGGTTCTCATCAATCAGTCTATAATCTAATAATTTATATAATGGTCCACTCCTCAATGACACAACGCGGTTGTTTTTTTTTTTTTGTTTCATTTTTCATGCAAATAGATAAATATTTGACAATTCATGGGAACCCTAAAATACAAAGATGTCAACACACATAATCAAATGAGTGGGTCTAAGTAAAAGTGGGTCCAAATTGGTTTAACTTTGTACCCATATTTTAACTCATTTTAATAGGGCTGCGTATTGCTTTTTAGCCGTTGGGGCCCATTTGTCGACCCCGCTTCAATCATCTCGTGCCTTTTCAAATTTCTTCGACTGTTTTTTCTTTTCAAATTCATTTGCACACAATTTCACATTCACGGTTTCCTTTTCACTTTTGAGTTTTTGAGACTTTTATTATTATGGGATCATTTTTACTAAATTTGGTTTTTCTCATTTACTAAATTTGGTTTTTTTTTTCTAATTTCCATGCTATGAGGGTATTTTTCTTAGTGCGAAAAAATCGCATCACAAAGTGTATGTTTCATCACAACACATGCATATTTTTCTAGTTCTTTATAAATATTTTAATCTTTAGGTCTTTTCACTTTTTTTATTTTATCTATTAATTTGTTAAGTTACTTTTTTAATTTGATGTAAAATTTTATCTAAGTAACATATTTGCATGAAATGCTTAAAGTGAGTTAAATGGGTGGGTAAGAGTTTTTGTACATTGGGTTAAATACGAATGTGTTTTAGTATGGATCGAATCGAGTATAGGTTGTTGGGTCGGACATAGGCCGCTAAAATTGTATTACATAAAATTTGATCAGTATGAGTTAAATGGGTCAATTTGGGTTATGTCCAACCCACCCGTTTGACGGGTTTTCCCGTCCCTAAGTGCTCTCTCTCTCTCTCTCTCTCTCGTGGTGAATTTTGATTGAAACGTCGACGATGGAAATATTTTTATGTCATTTATTTTTATAAAATGATAAGAGTGATCATTTTTAAGAAAATATTTTATAAATTATTCGTTTTTCACAAAATAAATGGACCTTTATCGAGCCGCTAATTTCCATCTAAGACTACCGCTTTGCAATGTCAAGTCTAGATAGGACATAACAAAAAAGCAAAGAGCCATGTGGCATACATGCCTGTTGACAAGTCAACTAAATCATCAACATCTGTTCTTGTGTCACGTTATCTATTTTCTCCTCCCCCTTTTTTTTTTTTGTTTATGGATAATTTGGGTCAATGGGTGAATGACCTTCTTTTTTTTGCTCACAATTTGGGTAATGACGTGCAAATAAAGAGAAGATTGGTTTTTCTTTACGACCCCGGTCGTCTCAACACCGATGATCTCCAGAAAGAGCTCAACAAAAAAAGGAAACCGAATCACGACCTCTACAACGTAAGAAATTAACCGAAAAAAAACTAAGGCCTCTATAACAAAAGAATTCAACCCAAAAAAAAAAAAAAAACCGAATCACACCGATCTGCAGAAAGAAGGAAATTCAACCAAAAGAATCAAAGAACAAAATGGTGGTGGCATCGAGCTGTGTTTGAGCTGTCTTGTTAAGGAAAAGCATCATGCTATGTTCCCCTCCTTAACACCCCCCTCTTCCTCCTCCTCCTCCCAACATCCCTAGAAGAACAAAAAAAACACCAAACCCTCTCCCTCTCCCTCTCTCTCCTCAATTCAAATCGCCACCTTCTTCTTCTCTCTCTCCTCCAGACTTTCAGATCTCAAACTTTGAGACTCAAAGTTCCCATTTTTATCCCAAACACCCATCACACCACCTTCCTGGAGAGAGAAAGAGAGCCATTTCCATACCTCAGCCTCATATGCCGCGCATGAGATGACGACGACGACGACGGCGACCACCCATCTCCGCTCCCTCTCCGCTGCCATCTTCGTCTTCTTCTCTTCCTTCGCCGCCCTCTCCGCCGCCGCCCATGGGGCCGCCACCCCGACCCACGACCCCAAGCACCGCCACCTCCTCCACCACCTCGACGAGTTCGGCGACCGCGGCGGCGGGAGCGTCGCCGTCGACGTGTCCATCTCATTCGAGAACCCCCGCCTCCGCAACGCCTACGTCGCCCTCCAGGCCCTGAAGCAGGCCATCGTCTCCGACCCCAACAACTTCACCGCCAACTGGGTCGGCCCCTCCGTGTGCGACTACTCCAACGTGTTCTGCTCCCCCGCCCCCGACGACCCCAGCGTCCGCACCGTCGCCGGAGTCGACCTCAACCACGGCGACATCGCCGGTTACCTCCCGGAGGAGCTCGGCCTGCTCGCCGACCTCGCCCTCTTGCACCTCAACTCCAACCGGTTCTGCGGCGCCGTGCCGCGGAAGTTCCGGAACTTGAAGCGGCTCTTCGAGCTGGATCTGAGTAACAACCGGTTGGCCGGGAAGTTCCCGAGCGTCGTGCTGGAGCTCCCGGCGCTCAAGTTCTTGGACCTCCGGTTCAACGAGTTCGAAGGGTCGGTCCCGAGGGAGCTCTTCGACAAAGATCTGGACGCCATTTTCATCAACGACAACCGGTTCCGGTTCAGCCTGCCGGACAATCTCGGCCACTCGCCGGTGTCGGTCATCGTCCTGGCGAACAATGACTTCGGCGGGTGCCTCCCTCAGAGCATCGTCGAGATGAAGAACTTGAACGAGGTCATACTCGTGAACAACGGGTTCAAATCTTGCTTGCCGCCGCAGTTGGGGAGGCTCAAGAACGTGACGGTCTTCGACGTTAGCGTCAACCAGCTGGCGGGTCCGCTGCCGGAGAGCGTGGGCCAGATGGTGAGCTTGGAGCAGTTGAATGTGGCTCACAATAGGTTGTCCGGGAAGATTCCGGCGAGTGTTTGTGGTTTGCCGAAGTTGCAGAACTTCACGTTCTCGGACAACTTCTTCACCGGAGAGCCGCCGGCTTGCCTGCGACTGCCGGCGGTGGATGACCGGATGAACTGCTTGGCGGAGAGGCCGTCGCAGCGGTCGCCGGTTCAGTGTAGGGCGTTCTCGTCCAGACCGGTGGATTGCAGTGCTTTCGGATGCTCTCGTTCCTCTGCTCCTTCTCTTTCGCCGCCGTCCCCACCAGCCGTCTCTCCGCCGCGGCCGGTGGCGCAGCCTGTTCGCTCCCCTAGTGGCGCTCCATCGCCAATGCCAGTGGCTCCGACCCCGCCCGTTGGAGAGCCACCGCAGTCGGCGCCTGGTCCTTCCACTTCGCCATCTGGTAGCTCTCCATCACCAATGACAGCGGCTCCGACTTCCCCGCCCGTTAAAGATCCACCGCAGTCGGCACCTGTTCCTTCCACTTCGCCATCTGGTAGCTCTCCATCGCCGTCACCTCTGTCGTCGCCGCCGCGGCCGGTGGCCCCGCCTGGTAGCTGTTTAACGCCGTCACCCACTGCACCTTCCTCGTCCCCGAGGACACCGCCTGTCCACTCGCATCCACCACCGTCTGGATCTACATTGCCACCTCCCCCAGTTTCTTCACCACTCCTGCCACCTCTGCCATCGCCGCCCGTTTACTCGCCTCCCTCGCCCGTTTACTCAACGCCTCCTCCGCCGTTTTACTCACCATCTCCCCCGCCACCGGTTTACTCTCCATCTTCCCCACCTCCTCCGCCACCATACTCTCCACCCACCCATTACTTCCCTAACTCCCCACCACCACCACCTCCACCTCCACCGTCATCTCTACATTCTCCTCCACCACCGCCGGGCCATTCTCAACCTCCACCACCTCATGTAGAGAAGTCGCCACCATCGCCATCCACCCATTATTTGCCACCGCCACCCGCCCACTCATATACCCCGCCTCCTGCCCACCATCACGAGTCCCCGCCGCCGCCGCAAGCTCACGATCACTCGCCCCCTCCTCCCCAAATTCCATGCGAACAACTGCCGCCGCCTCCGCCATCCCCGCCGCCCCCGGCCCCTGCATACAAGGGGCCAATGCCACCAATTAAATCAGTCCCATACGCTTCTCCTCCGCCACCACCTTTCTATTAATTCTTTTTCGAGAATTTGCCTTTTTTCCCCCTCCCCAGCCTCTCCCAAATTTGCACCCAATCGGATTTCAGCAATATGGCATTTTCGGATCATGTGCAGAGTTGGCTTGTTCGTTGTAATTTCTTTGAAAAATCAGTCGACGACAAAACTGTGGTCAAAGCAAAGAGGGAAAGACGAGAGAGTCTCCACAATCTGCTTATTTTTAATTTATCTTGGGAATATTATTTCCGAGTTTGTGAAATAAATTTGAAGAAGAGTAGAGCGAATGTAAGGCTGTAGGATTGTATTATGTATATCGGTCATCGTTAATGGGATTGATCTCCAATCAGGGTCACAACCTGCTGTTTGAATCGGTACTGTCTTCTGGTTCTGCATCACAGCTCTGTAAATCTTTCTTTCTTCCCTTTTCCCTTTTTCTTCAAGCGTTCAACTTCATGGAACATTATTGCATTGATTCTCAGAATTCAGACCAGCCATTCATCTTGGTCTCGCCAGCATCAGGGTTGTTTTTGTTGTTTGCGATACGATCCAAACCAAATCTCTCTACCCTTTTTGCGTCCGTGACAGTGACCTCCTTCCTGCTTTACATGAAAACAACAGTTGCTCCACTCAGTCTCTGTTTTTCATTTTTGCACCGAAAGGGTCATATTTCCACTTTGATGTGTATGAATTGCAGAATCTTTAGCATTTCTAGATGTGAGCATGTGTGATAACAGTATGGCCCATGAGCTCAAATCATTATCGTCTTGCTAATCACGCCTTGAAGATTTGAACTTTGAATCTAAATCTTGATTTTGAGCCCGAGTTTATCGCATACCTATTTGCTTACAGCATCATCAGTCACTAAGAAATCTCAGCAGAGTAGAGTATGACAGTAAGTTCGGTTACCAAGGTTCTTGATCACATCGTTCGTATCCATCGAATGGATCCTCAATGTCGGTCGAGTGTCTAGATGAGAGCATTATCTGTATATTGTCTCTTCTTTTCGGAGTTTACGCTAGCAGCCTCTAAGGTTTAAGTTAAAAAATGACAGATTGGGTGGATTATCTTGCCTAAAGATTACCCAAATCCTCTGGCATTTGGAAATTGAGATATTGACCTCTCTTCTTGATCTGTGCTCTCTTTCTCATGTGCTTTCTCACCGAGTCAGGTTTCCACAGTTGTTGTCTGTTTAAATATCTTCCCTTTTGCACATTCAAGACTCTCTCTGTCTCAGCTCTCTGTGTTCATGTTCATGAGATCAGGATAAGATTGTGAGTGACGATGTGCATCAATCAAGCAATAAGATATGCCATCCTGTCTTCAACCAACGCGGAGTTACTCGATCAATTCAATTCCTCAACAACTCTCTACCATCTGCACATCACTAAAAGCCAGCGGTGCTCTTAACTGGGCACTGCTATTTCACACCCACCAATACTTACTAACTCAAAAACATATATTTTCAGCAGAAAAAAACTCAAAGACACATGTATTTAACACCCACCAATCTTCACATCGAATTCCTGCTGTGCAATATCGTAGCCAAGGCACCATTTAGACACCGTGGATCTGTTCCTCAACGATGAACCATGTTCTTTACAAAGATATTGTAAGGTCTATAGACAATGTAAATTAAGTTCATATCAACTATCTGTTCCACAACCAGGAACCGTGTTCTTTGAGAAGATATTGTAAGGTCTATAGACAACGTAAATTAAGTTCATATCAACTATCGTTCCCGTGAGCACCACGATGGACTCACATAGATAATAGTTGGGATGATATCGATCCACATAGATTATAGATCAAGTGATATCCGGTGATTAGTGTTATAAGCCCGTTAGTCACAAGAGTCAATAATGTAGAGCCAGTGGTCATAAAAGTATATTCATAATGAGTCCTTGTCAAATTATTGGTGACTTCCAAAACCGCCAATAATTAGCTATTTATTTTCCTTTATGCCCATATGAGGCAATGCTTGTAAAGTTTAAAGGAAAGATTTGGTCCCTAGAAAAGCCTTGAGTAATAAAAAAGTGTGTGAATTATGAATCCCTAAATTTTCACTTCTACCTTTTTGCTTGGTATGATTTTTTAAAACAAACGTATGAGTGCTGGTTAGTTCTTGTAGTATGTTCAGCACTTGATTTAACATGGAACCTGTGCAGCAGATCCAAGGCGCAAATCAAAATCCGAAGGGGGTTTGGTGGCTAAAAGGCAGTCGCTTCTATAGAGGCATGAAGAGCCGTTTGATACTTGCCACAAGCCTTGTTTTCGTTTTCTTGATTTGCATTTTAGTACCCATTACACAGTCTCTAAGCCTTGACATAATGTACAATGAAGTCCCTGAACTTTTAATTTGTTCAATATGATCCATGAATTATAACTCAATGTGCAATGTGATCCTAAACTTTTAAATTCTTCAATGTGGTCTATGAACTTTTGGTACATGTTCTATTTTAGTCTCCGAACTATATGAAAATGTTCAATGGAAAGTTAAGGACTAAATTGAACATGTATCGAAAGTTCAGAAATCATACTGAACAAATTAAAACTTCAAGGATGATATTACACATTGAAATAAAGTTCAAGAACAATTTGTGTCATCATCTCTCTTGATATCTAAGGAGCATTAGTGCGAGCAATGGTGATTCTTGGTTTCAACTGTCAATTTTACTCCGGGAACAAGCCATATCTGTGCCTTCACGTGCATCATCTGTTCCTGTCCAACATCCCAACAGTCGAGCCAATATTTTTTAGATTCAGAATACTGAAATGACCACAAAATTTTTCTTTTTAGCTATGAATAGTCTTTCCAGAAATCAACGCAAAGTCTTCTCCTTTGTTTATTTCTTTCTTCCATGAGGGAAACTCTTCCATTGGTAATTTTCTGCACACTTCATCAGATTCTCTTCTGGATTTCTGAAGAGCCTCTTCCCTTTTCATGTCGTCTGGTCACTGCCTCTGCAACAGAGCACATGCACATGGTTCATCTAAATTTAGAAATTAGGCATTGATTCTCGTGCTTGGTAGAGTAAAATTTTTATGCCAAGTCTTGCAGGCCCCTCTCTCTCTCTATATGCATATGAAGTTATCTTTTCTATTTATTTGACCATTTGAACTAAACGATATGGAAAAAAAATTCGACAGACCCCTTTTCCCTTTTTCTATTTGTCAGGTAATTCGTTAGAATAATGAGGTGACCATAAATATCCTAGACAAGGGTGTTGTGTACACACACATGTACAAATATATTATTGTATATATAATATGTTTGCATTTATTGTGATTCAATTGCATATTTCAATGTATTTTTTTTTCTGGAGGAGAAGGAAAAAAGAAAGAAAAATAAACAATGGGGTTGCCCAAGTTGATCTAATTGACCGTTATAGTGAAACGGTGTTTATGTTTCATGAAAAGGTGCAAAGAACATATGAGAATAATTATATTTCAAAGGATACTATCTTTAGAACAATATTATTTCAGAGGGAAAAAGTCACAAAAGCCCCAAATTACGTGACACATTTATTTTAAACTCTTTTTGTGACAATATAAATCCCAAACTTGTACTTTCGTGATATATTTACCTCAAACTTTTTTGTGACACGAAAAATCCAAAATTTATACCCATGTGACACATTTACTCTCTATCAAAATTCCGTTAACTAACGCCGCTAAAAAACTTATGAGGCTGCCTACAAGGACGACAAAAAGTAAATGATGCTGACATGACATGCATATGGCAAAAATATGTCAACTCATTGTATATTCTTTTTCTCATTTTCTTTTCCCTTTTTATTGACTTACCCCTTTGTTTTCATTATTGGTTTGGCAAAGGTGAGGACGTTGGTGATGGCGACAGTAAGGGCAGCGATGGCGGAAACGGCAACCGATAAGACAAAGGGGGAAGGAAAAAAAGAAAAAGGACAAAAAAATTTTGACGGAGTGTAAATGTGTGGTGCGGATCTAAGTTTGGGAATTTTGGTGTCATAAAATTTTTTTGGGGTAAATGTGTCACATATATACAAGTTTGGGGTTTCTTGTGTCATAAAAAAAGTTTGGGGTAAATCTGTCATATAAGTATAAGTTTAGGGTAAATATATCACACAGATACAAGCTTTAGATTTTTGATATCACAAAAAAAATTTAGGATAATTTGTCGTAATGAGCATGGTTTGGGGGTTTTAGTTTCTTTTATCCTATTTCAAAAGGTCTAGTATACCAAAGAGATTCAACTAATGAACTTTTGGGAGATGCAATATTTAAAGTTATACTTGACGAGTTACTAACTCTTCGAGATTAGTACAACCGTCCATTTTGTTGGGTTTTTAGATAAACCAAAAGAAGACTAATAAAATATAACGACAAATCGATATACACGACCTCGCCATACTATATTTCTCTTGAAATTAATGGTTTTGAGTTCATGGCTAAAGAACATTTCGAAGTGCATCAATATTGCGTTCTTGTATTTTAGGGTTGGCATTTCCAGTGAAGCCGTTTGCACCATAACGGAGAAATTACTATCTCAGAGAAAACTTCCTGAAAACGCCTGGTGTCAATCTACATTTCTCCGATTTCTTATTTTTGATTGGATGTTTCTCCATTTTCTGTTTTAATTTCGATGTACATTTCGAAATTTGCAACCTTATCAGACAACAAATAGTACTGATGCAATTGGAAAGGGTCCAAGGAAAAGAGAGTATAAACACCCACATGAGTTGTCTGGTTCGCCTCATGTATAGAATATATTTTACATTCATCTTGAGCGCATGCGATTCACTATGATGAACTAACCCTTCTCCATTCGGATGGAGGACAGAACGAAGCGACATCATCAATCGCCATCGATCACTTACTCGTGGCTATATCTGTGGTACGGTATGCACGAATCTAATAACAACACAGACACATGAACCATGATCATTCTGTCGATTGTCATGAGCAGAGAGGGAAGAAGCACTCGAAATGATAGGAAACGCAAGATCCCCAGCTGGATCGATCAATTGCATGCTATGGGAAGGTGCGAGTGTTACTTGAAGTTAGACCTGACCGACGAACAAGGCTCGAGTCGGGTTTATCATATAATGTAGAGCTTTGTTTCGCCCCGCTGATCACTCAAAATGCTGTCTAGGCCCTGCCGGAACGATGGCCGGGGCACGTTGTGTCGTCAGGCTCATGATCGGGTATGCTTGGACTGGTCCATTAATGTGGAAATGGAATTGAGACCAACAATTTCACAGAAGATTGGGCCTTGCTTGGGCTTTTTTCTCCTCCCAATCCGGTTCACTTGTGTTTGATACTGATTGGGCTATTAGTGCACTTGATAGGCAATCTGCATATTGGGCCCAACCTACCTATTTATCACTCCCGAACTAGGTAGGATATCGAGGCTTGA